TAATGCGATAACGCATTCCTGATTTAGGTGTGCCTTAATCACACTGAATGCTTAAGGTTGTTAAGGTATTGACCTGCCGTCTAAACACTTCATTCTAGATTGCACCCTCCTCGAAGTAAAAGAATAAAAACGGTCAAACATTGTCTACCGGTTGAAAAACATAGAGCAGAGAATACGTGCGTGTAAATGTTCGTCTATTTTATATGCAAAATTACATTTTGTACCCCTTTAACTATGCCTTATGTCTTATATCAATCTCTGATTGTCACTATATTGTACTTTCAATTATGTCTTTTAATTTTACAGTGGACCAATTGCAAATGTCTTTTAGAGTATCTTCAAATTTTTACTCAAATTTGAATTAATATTTGAATAAAAAAATTGATTTGATACAAAAGTCTTTACTGGACAAACTTAAATTTAAAGAAAAAAAAATTCAAAATTTAAAAGATAGAAACATTTGAATGATGGTGAAATATGACAATTAGATTTTAATGAAATCTAACTATTGATGATTTAGGTAAAAATTTGAGTTTCTTTTAATTTAAGTAAAATTTAAATTTTTCGTAATTTGGTATGAATTTTGATATATAATTGGAGACGATTTTTAGGCTATTTCACTTAAATAGTAAAAATAGAATGGATTTAGGTCTAAAAATAGTAAGGATTGGAGATGCATACATTTTATCACTTGCATTATATGCAAATTTATTTTACTTGGTTAAAAAAATATAAAAAACACAAGTATATTGTATCGAAGAAATATCTAACGTTTATTTCTGGATGATTGAAGAAAATTCAAGTATTTATGGGGAACTATTGGAAATCTTAAATAGTAAAGGAGGTAAAATGGAAATCGATCTAATTTGGGGGTTACAAAGTATCATTTGCCCTATTTCGTATGTATTTTTTTTTTTTTTTTTTTTTTTTTGGGGGGTGGGGGGGCTAAGTGTAGATGTAGCACATTTTATAAGAACTTCATCATGATATATATTGCTTCACCCCATATCTAGTTCCCAAAAGTGTATAGAATCAGCCATGACCACTCTGGTAAGGAACACCACCCGCCATTTTAGCCGCCGCTGTGAAGGCTATGGGCCCTTGGATCACAGTGCTGAAGCAAATCCAGAGTATGGTCATGGCCGTAGAACATTTTCGAGGCGAAAAAGCAGCACTGAACATCCCAACAAGATGACTTCTTTGAGCTATAGGCGTGACAGGGCGAGAAAGAGGCATATTTTCCTCCAAACGTACAAGTTGGCATACATGGATTCTTCTGGAAAGTCGAGGTCGAGGAAGCTGAAGAAACTTGCTGTCAAATTGAAATCAGCTGTTGTCTCAGTAGTGTCTTTCATTCGGCTAAATTCTTTAAGAACCTTCAACTATAGATCGGCTATCTGTGCCTCTTCTCCGTCCTCGATTAGGAACTGTTTTTGAAATTTTCCACTGATTCAAGAGAGGTAACGAAGTTTATCCTCTTCTCAATCATTGTGATGCTTAATTGTATAACCTGGTTTGTGCTGCCAATTTGGTTAAGTTCCAAAACATTGGAATTTCAACTTATCCAAATTCTTCCATTTGTGCTGCAATTATAATGAGTACGACCCTGTAATAAGCAAAGTGGTTATCTTTGAATTAAGCTTCGTGAAAGCAACTGCAAATTTGCAGTACAACAGCATGTGGTAGTCAATTTTCTTTGTATGTTGAGCATTTGGTGATTCTCTGATTTGTATGAGACCTCAAAGGTTAAGCAATTACTATTGATTTTCTTGGCATAGATGAGTTAATGTTTGATTTTCTAATGATTGTGTATCTAATTGTATTCCACATGAATGTTTCAAACCAAAAGCAACAATAATGTTCCTGTTATTGTATTTCCTCGAATATGTTTTCTTGTCTCTGAACTGCATAGTATTTTATCAACTTATGGAAGAGTGCAAGACTAATTTTGGAATCGAGATCATCTCCTTTACCTCATTTCAATTGATGTTATACCACAAGTTCAAGTGGAACTCACTATTTATAATTACGCATTCCACAGTCATATATGGTGAATGATACATTGTTGAATGAAATCGACTTAAAATTATAATGGGGAAGATCTACATCCCTAAGTTTGGATATGTCTTATAACAAGACTTTAATTCTGTGAAAAATTAAAAAAGAATATACTGCCTGTCAGGGAAGAAGTCTTACTTGGTATATATGTTATCAGACACTATAAAATCACCTTGTTTTGCATAAAAATGTATCAGTATATCAGGATTAATACTACTTTTTTTTTCTTTTTTCTGTTCAATGGTTAGATTATCTAGACTTACGTACAATTCGATTAATCTTTCCCTTGGTACAATCAAAGACAAATAATTCACGCTCGAACTAAGGTATTCATAAGAGATAATCTTATGTCTTGGCCTAAAGAGATTGTCACAATTCGTATTTGGGACGTCTAAATTTACATTCATTCCTATTACCACTTGATAATTTATATAAATAACAAACATACCACTCATTTAATTTTAAAATTTAATACTGAAAAATGCTGAAACAATTTGACCAGAGCAACATCACTTGNATAGTATTTTATCAACTTATGGAAGAGTGCAAGACTAATTTTGGAATCGAGATCATCTCCTTTACCTCATTTCAATTGATGTTATACCACAAGTTCAAGTGGAACTCACTATTTATAATTACGCATTCCACAGTCATATATGGTGAATGATACATTGTTGAATGAAATCGACTTAAAATTATAATGGGGAAGATCTATATACCTAAGTTTGGACTCGCTTATGTCTTATAACAAGACTTTAATTCTGTGAAAAATTAAAAAAGAATATACTGCCTGTCAGGAAAGAAGTCTTACTTGGTATATATGTTATCAGACACTATAAAATCACCTTGTTTTGCATAAAAATGTACCAGTATATCAGGATTAATACTACTTTTTTTTTCTTTTTTCTGTTCAATGGTTAGATTGTCTAGACTAGCTTACATATAGTTCGACTAATATTTTTCTTGGTCCAATCAAAGACAAACAATCCACGCCCGGATTAAAGTATTCATAAGAGATAATCTTATGTCTTGACCTAAAGAGATTGTCAAAATTTGAATTTGGGACGTCTGAGTTTACATTCATTCCTATTACCACTTGATAATTTATATAAATAACAAACATACCACTAATTTAATTTTAAAATTTAATACTGAAAAATGCTGAAACAATTTGACCAGAGCAACATCACTTAACTNAAACTGTTTGTCAAAGATTACTTATGAAAATGAAGAAAATCTAAATACATATACATTCAGACTTATTCATGTACATTCAGCTGCTATAGCATCTGGTGATTATTTAGGTTTCTGTTGTATTAATTTTTTCAGTAAAATATGTTTTTGGGAAAGTAAAATATATTCATCTTTGTAAAATTACATATACATGTAAAGAATTTATCTGTTTATCAAACAGAGCAAAAAACAAAATAGGGGCCAAGCACTTGAACTGCAATAAGTTCTCCCTTGTGACAGAACTTATGGCAGATCAGAGCATTCATGATGGAAGATTATAGGACCAAGCATTAGACACAGAATTGTTCCAATACTGGAGAAAAGCAATATTCCGAGTGGATTGTTTGAAGTTGGCAGTGAGAAGTTTACTGCTAATAACATGAAGGATGGACTTCAAAACAGTAGCTGCATCCCTAAATTCATTCTTAAAGACTGACATTTCTTTCTCTCCAAATCGTATAAACAGAACTAGAAAGGCTAAGTTTGAGCACAATGGATTTGAGGGATTTCCCTTTCCATTGGTTGGAGGCTAAGTGGAAAGCTGGTAACCAACATGGGTGGAACCAAGAGGCCATAGAATGACTAAGCACCTTGTTCTATATTTCATTTGTGAAAGGGCATTCAAAAAACAGATGGTTGATGCTTTCCTCTGTTAGTTTACAAAACACACATGTTGTATTAATGTTTTGCATATAAGCCTTGATTCGATCCTTCGTTACAATCTTCCCATGAATAGAAATCCAGAGAACAAAAGACATCCTAGGGATGCATTGAGGGTACCATACAAGCCTGTGCCGAGGAACCTTAGGACCAGAGGTATAAAAAGATTTCCATGCTGAATGGGCAGTAATGACCACTAGGATCAAGGAGCCATTTAATTTTATCAGTATGCAGAGAGTTGAGATTATAGGACGACATAGAATTGAGAATTTGTAGCAGCTCAGGAGTAGCTGAAGAAGACCACGCCCAGCGGCTACCATTAATNCATTGAGGGTACCATACAAGCCTGTGCCGAGGAACCTTAGGACCAGAGGTATAAAAAGATTTCCATGCTGAATGGGCAGTAATGACCACTAGGATCAAGGAGCCATTTAATTTTATCAGCATGCAGAGAGTTGAGATTATAGGACGACATAGAATTGAGAATTTGTAGCAGCTCAGGAGTAGCTGAAGAAGACCACGCGCAGCGGCTACCATTAACAATGGTTTCTACCTTTGTGGTAGATGGAAAATTTGCAAGTTCAATAATTCTCTCCAACCATTTAAGAAGAAGAGGCCCATATGGGTGCCAATTATCATGCCACAAGTGTGTCAATTTACCATCTTCAATAGTATGAAGAATCAAGGGCCTAGCAGTGTGCCTAAGTTTCAAGAGTTTCCTCCAATTCCATGAACAAATCTGAGGTGGTCTAACTTCCCAAAAAGATTTCATCTTGAGAAAGTTCATTCTAATCTAGTTAGCCCAAAGATTTTCCTTGTCATAGATAATGTACCAGATGTAACTCAACATTAGAGCTTTGTTCCAGCTATGAAGATCTTTAAGCCCAAGACCACTTTCCTATTTTGATTTAATGACAATCTCCCAAGCCACCTTAGAGATTCCTTTCTTTTGCTCGTTGCCAGACCATAGGAAAAATCTTAGTAACTGCTCAACTCTTTTTAGAACACTCTTNATTAGAGCTTTGTTCCAGCTATGAAGATCTTTAAGCCCAAGACCACTTTCCTATTTTTATTTAATGACAATCTCCCAAGCCACCTTAGAGATTCCTTTCTTTTGCTCGTTGCCAGACCATAGGAAAAATCTTCGTAACTGCTCAACTCTTTTTAGAACACTCTTGGGGGAAGGATCAAATGGCTTAACCAGTAGCTTTGCATATTGCACAGAATAAATTTCACAAGTGGAAGCCTACCTGCACAAGAGAGAAATCTGTTAGTTCAACTTTTTATTCTAGCTTCAGTTTTGTCCACCAGAATTGCACAATCTCTTGGCCTCAGCTTGGTTGAAATGAGTGGGATATCCAAGTACTTGACAGGAAGCTGCCCCAACTGAAATCCAAGGCAAGAGATAATTTGGTCCCTTTATGTCTCAGGGATTCTAGAAATAAAGATTTCGCTCTTAATTGCATTTGCACTCAAACCAGACAGGGATTGGAACGTATCCAAAGCTTTTTTCAGCACAACAACTGAGGGAAGAGAGCCATGGCAGAAGAGGAAAAGGTCATCTGCAAAGCACAACTGAACCAACTTTTGTCTCTTACATCTCCAGTGGTACTTGAAAGAATCTAAAGTAGCAATTTCAGCTTTAAGAATGTGAGTAAAAACTTCCATGATGAGGAAAAAAAGATAGGGGGAAAGAGGATCGCCTTGTCTAATACCCCTTTTGCTAGGGAAAAAACCAACTAACTCCCCATTAAGGTTGATACTAAATCTAGGTGTTGTGATGCTAGCTTGGATCCAAGAAATCATATTAGATGGAAAGTTAAATCTCTTGAGAGTGAAGATCACAAAATCCCAATCAACCATGTCAAAAGCCTTCATTATATCAACCTTTATTGCACACCTGGGCGATCCCATATCCTTGTGATAATTCCTCATAAGTTCTTGTGCAAGGAGAATGTTATCCCCAATCTTTCTTCTAGGTACAAAGCTGATTGATTATGAGAAACAATATCAGAGAACACCTCCTTAATTCTAGAAGTTATAACCTTGGAGATGATTTTATAAAAAGTGTTACAACATGAAATTTGTCTAAAGTCTTCAATCTTAGAAGGGTTAGGGACTTTAGGAACTAACGAAATGATGGTATTATTGAGGTCTTTCAACAATTGATCTCTAGTGAAGAATTCCAAGACTGCTGCACAAATATCCTCACCAATAGTAGACCAAGTAGCTCTATAAAAGTGTTCATTAAACCCATCAGGACCTGGGGCTTTGTTGGGGTGAATAGAGAAAGTTGCCCTCTTGATCCCACCCTTAGTGACAGGAATAAAAAGATGCAAAACTTGATCATTTGAAAATTGTCTCCGTGGAAGGTTATGAAGCTCGCTATACCTGTATTGTGCACAAGAAGAACTATTGCCAAAAATGGATTGAAAATAGTGGATAACAATATGCTGGATCTCCCCAGGCTCATTGGATGCAGTCCCATCCACTCTGGTGATAGATAGAATTTTATCTCTGTTTCTTTTAGAATTGATGGTTTTGAAGAAAAAAGTTGAATTCTGATCTCCATCTTTAAGCCACTGAACTCTTGATTTTTGCCTGAGAAAGGATTACTCATTTTTTGCTGCAATAATATAATCTTGGAGGAGTTGCTTCTCAAGAAATCTCAGGGCTGCATCCATAGGAAAAGAGCCTAAAAGCCTTTTGACATTTGTCAAGCTCCATCTTAGAGGCTTGGACCCTTATGGTAGCATTCTCACTTTGGGGTTTGGTTAGATCCTTGAAAACCTATTTAAGCATTTTTCAGCTTGATGAAGACTTGGAATTGAAGAGTGCCCAAAACTGGTTTGGTCCATATGTTAGAGACAATTTGCTGGAAGTCATCTCTGTGAGTGAGGTGGTTATTAAATTTGAATGGACATTTCCTAGTTTTTCTTAACACCCCCATTCTGAGAATGCCTAGACTGTGATCTGATAGACCAGGTGGGAGAAATTTAGCCACAACTTCTGGGAAGAGTTTATTCCAAGCATCATTAGTCAAGATTCTGTCAAGTTTCCTTACCACACACTACCCAAAATTCCTATTATTTGACCAAGTGTAAAGAAGACCTGTGAATCTAAGGTCACTTAGATCTGCACCATGAATACAATTGTCAAAATCATACATAAACTGATTTTAGTTCTCAGTACCCCCCAAGGCCTCCTGAAGGTTTCTGATTGCTTTAAAATCACCTAATAAAGCCCTTGGCTTATTCATAAAAGTTTTGGGCTTGATAAGTAATGTTCCTCCATAGAGGCCTTCTATCTCTCTCATCATTAATCACATAAATAAAAGATATAACAAAAGTAGTGTCACTATCTATGTGTGTGACATAACAATGAATAATTTGCCCAGTTTCCTCCAATTTCTGGACTCTAAGGACCAATGGATTCCATCGAATCCATATTCTTCCAAAATGGTGACTATAATAGTTATGCATATATTCCCAATCTCTAAAGGCGAACCTCATGGATTCATCTTTATTAATATACCTGACTTTAGTTTCAACAATGCCCACTAAGTCAAGATGATTTTTAAAAATTAGCTTCCTTACCTCTCCTTGTTTAATAGGGGAATTGAGAACCCTAGTGTTCCAACATCCTATATTGTTCATTAGGATTTGGGGGGATTTTGGGTTAGTAACCCAGATAGCTTAGTGCTACCAGACCTTATGGAGTGGTTCTTCTTCTTTTTCTTCTTGCTTTTAGAGGCTACCAAATGTTTTAGGAAAGAATTATCAGAGAATGAAGTCGATACCTACTCCTCATGACTTGTGGAAGGGCTGCAGTTATTTGGAGGATTGTCCTCTTTCTTATTCAGTTCAACAAATCTGATGGGGATTCAACTGGCATGACTTCAAGGACTTCTTTGCCAACTGCAGGGCATAAGACTTGTTGTTTGGTTTGTAGGATCTGAGTATCAACTGGGGCAGCTTCAATAAAGTTAGCACCATTAACATGAGTATCACTAGTGGGTTTGGATTGGCTACTACTAGATGGCAGAATGCTTGCTGCATGAGGATTTATGGGATTTTGATCAACCACTTGAGAGAATGAGACCACTTCTTTCCCCTTCCAATTCCCCTCTTTTGCTGCCTTGCGGCTTTTAACAGTTTGCCAAGTCTCCTTAGGTACTGCCTGTTGGGGAGGTGCAGCTTGCTACGAAGGTGCTCTCTGCTGGGGGATGCTTTGGAACAAGATATTATAGAGTGTTCAAAGACTTTGCAAGCATGGCATACCTTTGGCTTCCAAGGATATTCAACTTTAATTTCCATGATTTTTGAATCACCCAGGCTAAGATCAAAAGAAACTATAAGATCATGGCTTGCATCTATTTCAATATATATCCTTACGTAATTAAGTCTTATGCATTGCTCCGTTAGTTTATCAGCATACAATGGTATGCCCACTGCACTATCAACATAGCTTAGGCCTTCATCAGTCCAATATTCCAATGGTACATTGTGTAGATGAACCCACATAGGAATCATAGTTTGAGAGACCTGTGTGAGCTCCATATTTGGCTGCCATTTCTGGAGAATAAGTGGTCTGATCATAAGAATCCATAGGGCCATCTCAAGCACTCTAGCACATTCCTGCTCAAAAGAATACTTGAAGAAGAAGAAGAATCCCTTGTTATTTGCCAAAACCTCTGTTAAACCAAGTTTGTCCGAAAGCTTGTGGGCAAGACCATTAACAACTGAGTATGGAAGTTTTTTCTCCACAAAGTATCCCACTAATGTATTTCCCCAATTACAATAGCCTTTGAAGCAACCTCTCCAGGGAGAGAAACAAGAATTTTATTTTCATTCAACTTGGGTTTAAAGTACTTTAGTTTCATTGGGGGGGTGTTCCATTGGAATGGAATTGGCTCCATTTGGGTTCTGAACCACTTGTGACCATGAGTTGGGTTTGTTAGGATCCAAACTGGGTTTGCCCATCCCACTCTTTCTGGGAAAAACAGCCGTCTTATCAACAGTATTGGAAAGAGCTAAAGTTGATGTGTCTTGTCCTTGACTAGCAGGTTTTCAATTTTTGAATTTTTACCTTGAACAACGTGTGATGAACTCGGTGCTTGACTCATAGCATTTGGCGCAATTGCTATGATGTTGCTCAGTAGTTGTGAACTGTTTTCATGAAGGACATTGTTCTTCTGATTACCAATAACAACCTCAAGATTCGTAATTGCAAAGGCTTGGTCCGCTGCAGATTTGGAAGCCTCCATCTCAAAGAACCCAGATGAGGGAAGCAGAAGGGAGATGAGCTAAGAAAAAAACAGAGAGAGGTGAGGATGGAGGGGAAATTGGTGGTGAGTTGGGTGATTGTAGTGGTATAGTTGGTGGAGGTGAAAGTTAAGAGCTTGATGTTGGTGGGGAGTATAAGCAGTAGATCTAGTTGTGGTGGGGGATCTGGTGGTAGGCTGGGTTTGCCGAGCATCTTCCTTGAGAGAGGGAGAGCCCAGAGAATTATATGATTGTAGTGGTATAGTTGGTGGAGGTGAAAATTGTTGGACATGTTATCAGTAAAATATGTTATTACTTGACGAAAATGGAAAAAATATAAATACATATGGTGACATCTATATCTGTTGGGGATGCAACTACGGTTGTGAAGGAGGTAACATAGCCAAAGTTTATGAGTTTAATGCCAAAAGAGCAATGTTACCTGGACTTAAAAATTAAACTTAAAAAGTAGATTTAATAATTACAATAATTGAATAGGTCATTGATCAGAATAAATATTGGGATTCACAATAAAATTAATGATTGTAATTATCAAGTTTATTTTTTAAGTTTAATTTTTAAGTTCATATAGCATTACACATGTCAAAATAGGGGGAGGAGGAGTTAGGGTCAATCGTAAAGTGTTAAGATTGATCCCAAACAACCCTATATAGTTGTAATAAATTGAGCTACTATCTCACCCCTATCTTGTGGCAACTTCGGTGCAATAGCAAAAAAAAAAAACTCATTTTATACCATTGTCGCATCCTCTTGTGGGATTAATGTGCAATAAAAAATGTTATGTTATAACGATAGGAATTTGAGCACGAGCTCGGTNATTGTAATTATCAAGTTTATTTTTTAAGTTTAATTTTTAAGTTCATATAGCATTACATATGCCAAAATAGGGGGAGGAGGAGTTAGGGTCAATCGTAAAGTGTTAAAGATTGATCCCAAACAACCCTATATAGTTGTAATAAATTGAGCCACTATCTCACCCCTATCTTGTGGCAACTTCGGTGCAATAGCAAAAAAAAAACACTCATTTTATACCATTGTCGCATCCTCGTGGGATTAATGTGCAATAAAAAATGTTATGTTATAACGATAGGAATTTGAGCACGAGCTCGGCAGCTTGGCGAAGCTCTAGCTAGCCAACTCTCTACTTCTCTCGTCCTCTAGTTAGACAAAGTTCAGATCCTTCACAACTTAATTAATTCAGCTCAGCTAAGACTTTCACTTGGACAAGGAGTGTCCACCTCCACTCCACCACTAGATATCTAGGATTCACCCCAATCCAAGCAAGGGATAAACATCCCAACGACATATCACTGCCTATAAAAAAGGAGGAAAGGATATCAATCAGGGTAAGCAAACCTAACTCCAATTTGATATTCAGTTTCTTCATTTCCATTTCTGACTTAAGCATCGAAACTCCCCCAGTCTTCAACTTTCTCTTTCAAATGCTCCCCTTAGTCAGTCACAGAGCAATTCCAGTTAGCAGACCGGTGGTCAATTTATGGCATCATTAGTTGACATTGTCGGTGGGAAATGTTATTTTTTACAAAGCACAGTTTTTTAGAACTAATGGACATCACTAAATCAAAGGATCTAGCCAAGGACCAGGCCTATCCAAATGAACGTCGAAGATCACACCCCNGGATATCAATCAGGGTAAGCAAACCTAACTCCAATTTGATATTCAGTTTCTTCATTTTCATTTCTGACTTAAGCATCGAAACCCCCCAGTCTTCAACTTTCTCTTTCAAATGCTCCCCTTAGTCAGTCACAGAACAATTCCAGTTAGCAGACCGGTGGTCAATTTATGGCATCATTAGTTGACATTTGTCGGTGGGAAATGTTATTTTTTTCAAAGCACAGTTTTCTAGAACTAATGGACATCACTAAATCAAAGGATCTAGCCAAGGACCAGACCTATCCAAATGAACGTCGAAGATCACACCCTACCGACATGGGGAATTCAGCCACGCCAAAAGAAGGAACCACAAGGGGGTGAGGAAGTTAGAGAAGATAGTGGAAGTATTGGTTCAACAAAAGTTTTCATTCTGATATACAATGATGTGTAAAGTAGTTATTTTTAATCAGTCATATTGTGTTGTGTTTGCATATCGTATAAATTGTGTCATGCCNAGTATTGGTTCAACAAAAGTTTTCATTCTGATATACAATGATGTGTAAAGTAGTTATGTTAATCAGTCATATTACGTTGTGTTTGCATATCGTATAAATTGTGTCATGCTATAATTTGATCGTTAAGTAATAGATACGTGTATATACCAAATTCTTATCGATCTATTTATTTGGCTGGCTTGATAAAATCACTCGTTACATTTCTATCAACTATAACTAAATTAAAACTTGCTAATTATCTATTCGTTTCCATCTTTTCATTCTGGTTTCTTCAATTGTTAGGTGAATGTAAAGGCTCATTCCTGTGCCATTGGTGATCATCATTAAGGAGCTCAGCTTTTAACCCATGCCCAAAGCAAATAAGACCCCACCTCGTGTCTGCACAATTGCATGCCATCCATTAGTTGGCCACCAACCCAAGTTTTTATTTTAGCATGTTGTGTGTGTGTGTGTGTGTGTGTNGAATTATATGATTGTAGTGGTATAGTTGGTGGAGGTGAAAATTGTTGGACATGTTATCAGTAAAATATGTTATTACTTGACGAAAATGGAAAAAATATAAATACATATGGTGACATCTATATCTGTTGGGGATGCAACTACGGTTGTGAAGGAGGTAATATAGCCAAAGTTTATGAGTTTAATGCCAAAAGAGCAATGTTACCTGGACTTAAAAATTAAACTTAAAAAGTAGATTTGATAATTACAATAATTGAATAGGTCATTGGTCAGAATAAATACTGGGATTCACAATAAAATTAATGATTGTAATTATCAAGTTTATTTTTTAAGTTTAATTTTTAAGTTCATATAGCATTACACATGTCAAAATAGGGGGAGGAGGAGTTAGGGTCAATCGTAAAGTGTTAAGATTGATCCCAAACAACCCTATATAGTTGTAATAAATTGAGCTACTATCTCACCCCTATCTTGTGGCAACTTCGGTGCAATAGCAAAAAAAAAAAACTCATTTTATACCATTGTCGCATCCTCTTGTGGGATTAATGTGCAATAAAAAATGTTATGTTATAACGATAGGAATTTGAGCACGAGCTCGGCAGCTTGGCGAAGCTCTAGCTAGCCAACTCTCTACTTCTCTCGTCCTCTAGTTAGACAAAGTTCAGATCCTTCACAACTTAATTAATTCAGCTCAGCTAAGACTTTCACTTGGACAAGGAGTGTCCACCTCCACTCCACCACTAGATATCTGGGATTCATCCCAATCCAAGCAAGGGATAAACATCCCAACGACATATCACTGCCTATAAAAAAGGAGGAAAGGATATCAATCAGGGTAAGCAAACCTAACTCCAATTTGATATTCAGTTTCTTCATTTCCATTTCTGACTTAAGCATCGAAACTCCCCCAGTCTTCAACTTTCTCTTTCAAATGCTCCCCTTAGTCAGTCACAGAGCAATTCCAGTTAGCAGACCGGTGGTCAATTTATGGCATCATTAGTTGACATTGTCGGTGGGAAATGTTATTTTTTACAAAGCACAGTTTTTTAGAACTAATGGACATCACTAAATCAAAGGATCTAGCCAAGGACCAGGCCTATCCAAATGAACGTCGAAGATCACACCCCACCGACATGGGGAATTCAGCCACGCCAAAAGAAGGAACCACAAGGGGGTGAGGAAGTTAGAGAAGATAGTGGAAGTATTGGTTCAACAAAAGTTTTCATTCTGATATACAATGATGTGTAAAGTAGTTATTTTTAATCAGTCATATTGTGTTGTGTTTGCATATCGTATAAATTGTGTCATGCCATAATTTGATCGTTAAGTAATAGATACGTGTATATACCAAATTCTTATCGATCTATTTATTTGGCTGGCTTGATAAAATCACTCGTTACATTTCTATCAACTATAACTAAATTAAAACTTGCTAATTATCTATTCGTTTCCATCTTTTCATTCTGGTATCTTCAATTGTTAGGTGAATGTAAAGGCTCATTCCTGTGCCATTGGTGATCATCATTAAGGAGCTCAGCTTTTAACCCATGCCCAAAGCAAATAAGACCCCACCTCGTGTCTGCACAATTGCATGCCATCCATTAGTTGGCCACCAACCCAAGTTTTTATTTTAGCATGTTGTGTGTGTGTGTGTGTGTGTGTAGAGAGAGAGAGGTTTGATAACCTACTGCTTTGACTCCAGAACGACTACCATGGCAGTTTTTGTTTCCGACAAGGCATAGATGAGCAGGTGTCAGTGCGTGTGGTTTAAGGATGTGCTACTCTCTCATTCCCATGTGTGGAAAGTGATCGAATGATCATCATGCGAACACAGGCTCTGACTCCCATGGCTCAACTGGAAAATCCCCAATACATCATTTTGGTCTAAGTTGTGCCGTCAACTTATATTTGATTGGTTCATAGTAATATATAGTTGGATTTATCTTACTGTTTTTTATAAATTATATTTAAAGAGTTTGTGTCTTATTTAATTGAGTACTTATCGACCTATATATTTATTTAACCGGTTTGAGAGTCCACTAGTTTAGCATTCAAAATTTTAAAGTTACACAAAAATTCATTAATTTTGTATTAATTTTATATAAATCTGTAAATCGGGTTTAGGCTGGGCAAGTCTACCAAAAAAAGAAAGCCTGGAATTTTCCAACTTTAATTGATCCACTTTCAATCTTAACCTTGTTGTACTTCTAGATTTTCACTTGATATTGACGTGACCAATAAAAAATAACAGTGAAACTAATATCTTTAATGGTGACATAGAGAACTCGCATTTTTCTATGATAAGAGCAATCAAATAGAAATTTGGAAATGAAAGATAACTTAAACGGATAAAACTTATTTAGTTTAGGGTGGCCCACAACTCAAAATCTGTCCGACCTTATCGAAGTAAAAGGCCGTTCGTTTGTTTGTAGCGATTTACACCAATAAGTTTTGTGGAGAAATTCAAAAAGGAAATTTGAAAATGATTTTAAATTATTATTAATAACAAATTATGGTTGTCTAACACATTGACTTGATAAAATTGGCAGTTTGTAAATATTGTAAGTTTTTAAATGAAAATATTTCAATATTGAAGGGCTAAACGCTCAATCATTTCAGCTGATACAATATGTCTTGAAAATACGGGAAATTTTTTTTTCAATGATTAATGAGATTCGGATTATTTCACGCGTATCTCGATTAAATATTACTCTGATCTGGTTAAAAATTAGTTATTCACGTCAGGACTAATATATTTATGAGAAATAAATTTCTCGTAACCTCATTATAAAAAATTATTAAAATTCAAATTCAACATATTTGAATTTATTGTTGATTCTTTTTATCGCTTAAACTACCTTATGTTATATTGGGAAATTAACTATCATCTGCTAAAAGGATAAAAGAAAAAGGAGGGAAAAATTATGTGGAGGTTTTCTTAGGACTTGTAAGACGTGGGAACACTTGACTCATTGGGTGTAGCACTGTAATGGAGCAGTTTTCAACGGGATGGAACCGTTTTCCGCCCCCTCTTTCTCTCTCTCTCTCCTCTATTTTTCAAACCCACTACTCTTGCTCCATCCTCCTAACTAAACCCAACTGTCATTGGTGGTTCAGTTCACCATCAACCTCTTCAAGTCCTCTTATCTTTCTCTCAGCTAACACAAAACGTCACCCCTCAAATTCACCTTGTTCCTTTATATTTCCACAAGTTGATTTCCAGATATAAATTTGTGAGTCTAGCTATTGGCAATTTTTTTTGTAAACCACCAACTGAGACAACCCAGAAAAGCGACTTGGAAGTTTCAAACATGTTTGAGATGCTGTTTGGATGGAGAAAAGCCTCCAAATGGTAAGTCTGAGTTTCATACTTTCTTGGGGTTTTTTTTTACCTGACATGGTTCATATATCTTTTATGAGTTTCTAATTGCAGCAAGAAACAGATTAGACGAGTTCAGTGCCGTCTCAAACTTCTGAAGAACAAGAGATGTTCGATTGTTAGGCAATTGCGAGACGACATGGCTGAGCTGCTCAGACATGGCCACGATGAGAGTGTCTTCAATAGGGTATATCTTTTTCTGCCTTTTTTGCATAGAAAATCATAGTGGCATGAAAATAAAGGTTTTAGATGCTTCTTGTTAGTTAAGATATTCCTTGCTATACCTCTGTTTTTTGCCCCCCTCCCCCCCTTTTTGTCTATCTAAAATTGATTCATATGATCGCCTACATGCGAAATCTCGTGGTTTTCCCAGTTTTTCTCTCCGAAGTTTTCCATTTTTTCCTTAGAATCTTAGCTGGATTAGTTCAAAAGCATAGAGCAATGTAATCGCTTAAACAGCAAAAAGTGCTTATAGCTGGAAGGACTGCTTGGATGGTTATACCACGCGAAATAATATTGAACTTTTGGTTTTTGTGGCCTGTCATCATGCTTTAAGCTTGGTTTGTTTAGGTTCTGGATAATCCTCATTCGGGTTTTTTCTTTTTTAATGTTTTGCAAGGGAATAGCCTTCATGTTTAACTTTCCATAAAATTAACTACTTCATCAGAGACTGTGGATGGATGAAAAAGGTCTTGCAAGGAAATAACTTTTGTATGATGCTTTAATAGAAAGAAATCACAAAAAAGGGAATGTTGACACTAATTTCTAATGCTGTGCTAATCTCAATCTCCCTTCCTAAGGGGCTACAAGTCCACAGCCCCCACTCCCCAACAAAAAAAAGACAAAACATAAGAACCTCATCAGCAGAAATTGTCGGCTTGCTGATGTTTTAGCAACATATGATCAATGAATTTCTGGAGTAAATCTTGTAGTACTGTGCACAATCAAGCTTGATTTCCACTTATACAATCTTAATTTAATGAAGTGGATAAAATCAGGGAAGAGTTGGAACACGATCCAGAACTTGTGTAACATGGCAATAAATTTTCAGCTAATCATGCCATTATATCTGTTGTAAGAACCACATTGCATTTTACAGAAGTTCAATCAGCTGTTCCTTGATTTCATTCAGTAATCAGTTTTGACACTAATTACAAAGACTTTTCTCACTGACTTTGGGGTAATAATCTCTTTTCTTGCACCTCCTTCCTCCCTCATTTTTCTTGAAATTTAGAAGAATTTCCATTACCAGCCTTCCAATATTCGATTCTTCACTCCCCATCTTTTATTGATTTTCAGGTTGAGCTGCTCTTTAAAGATGAAAGTGTAGTGGCAGTATATGACCTGTTGGATCATTTCTGTGAATTAATCCTCGTTAACCTATCCTACATCCGAAGACACAAGTATGGCTTGCTGTGATGATGAACTCAATCCTACATTTCACAACATTTTATATGCTCATCCGTTCTCCCTTTTAACATACAGGTTTTTGCTATGTATAATAACAGAAGTGTGTTGCAATCGTTGTTTCAGGGACTGTCCTAATGACATCAATGAGGCAGTATCAAGTCTCATATTTGCATCTGCAAGATTTGGGGATCTACCCGAGCTTCTGGTGATTCGGAAGCTCTTTGGGGAGCGTTATGGTAAAAGATTTGAAATGACTGCTCTTGAATTACTTCCGGGTAATCTAGTGAACCGACAGGTTGTCCATTGAATTCTTTAACATAATTGAAAATGGTTGTTTCTATGGCAAGAAATATTATCACTGATAAATACTATTGAACCACTGGATACTTTAAAACCAGATCAAAGAGAACCTCTCTATAAAGTCGGTACCAGATGATGTGAGGTATAGATTGGTGGATGAAATTACAAGGAGTTCCTTTCAACTAGGACCTTTGGCACTTGAATACAGTTCTGAGCTGCAACAACAGCTGGTAAGTTTGCCAAAATCTGAAATATTTCTTCAATTGCTTTTACCATTCGCAACTGAATTCCCCCCAACGAAACTGCAGGCAAGCAAAAGCAGTGGTGATCAAATCCCAAGTAACGAACTTAAAGCTAACTGCCACGAGATTGAAGTCTCTCAGTTGCAGGGTTCAATCATTGATGATAAAGAAGGAAAAATCATATATGTTGATATCTCATCAGAGAGCAAGAAACTTCTAATTGAACCGTTTTCTTCTCACCAAGGTTCTGATACTACTGGCACTTCCACTTGCTTGTCAACAGCTCTGCACCCTTCTCGAAACACAATGGGAACTTCAATGCATAAGAAAGAAGGGAAAATAGAAAAGGACACCTCACTTAGTCTTCCATACGAACTCACATTATCTGGTCAGAAAAATATTGAAGGTTGGAGTTCTTGCATAAACCACACTGCCACTTTGGCACACACTATAGATGGCATGGCCGAATCTTCTTCTGAAACTTCAGCTAAATTCCCCGAGGAGATGATATATCTTGATGACATTGAGGAATTTGAGTCTCCCATGAGCAAGGACCAAAACTGCCAGGATCAAAGATTATTCAAGTTCAAATCATCTGCTATTCCCACTCAAGAAATATTTGAAGATCGCCATAATGAAGCTTCTAAGAAGCAATTTGAATTGTGGAATGAGAAGACAAGCTCAAGAAGCTACAGAAAGAGTGAAAAGGACCCTGGAAAAAGATTGAGGAAGAGATCGATTTCTCGAGAGCGTAGAAGTGCATCTGAATGTGAACTTTATTATGGTGGTTCATGTGAGAATCTGCCAAATTACAACCATAAATCCCATCACCAGAGAAAGCATCAGAAGAGGGTTTCTGGGGAGGAAAACCGAGAATCATCTTGTGCTCGAGAAAGATTGGTCAATTGCTGCTGTACAAAACTAGGCAACAACTTCAGTTTTAAAGAGTATAAACCTGTTCAGATGAGATCATGCTACAGCTGCAGCTCCAAAGGTGAAATGTTCAATAACTGCAGCTTGGAACATCCCTGTTATTTCTGCACTGATGATGGCAAGTACGATTGGGAAAGTTCCCCATGGAAAACAAAGAAGAGATTAACAACTTTGCAGGCATGTCCTTCTGATATCTACTACTGTTACTGTTATGACAGGGGAAAACCGAATAACCCTGGAGGAGAATGGGTGCTCCCACCTCATAGATCAAGAAGAAACTATCAAACTGATGCAATGCTGTGTAAAAATGTGGTCCACCCCGATTACATGCCTAAGAAGCAGAGCAAAAAACTGGACGAGGAATGGGATGCAGACCGAGGAGACTATCCTGCAAATTGTGCTACGCCTAGTCCTTGGACTAGGAAGGGTATTCAGCCCATTTACTCGAGGGGCATGACTATGCCCCCAGAAAGGCCTACAGAGAGTCGCACTGACAACATTCTCCGGTCCAATTCGTTCCCAATTCAAGAGTGTAGTAATTTGAGCACTGCATCCTCTTCATCTCGCCATGTCCATCCGAAGCTGCCAGACTACGATGAGTTACAAGCTAAATTCATGGCTCTCAAGGAAGCAAATTTGCAAAATAAGCACTAGCAGAGGGACCATTGACTACTGGAACATCATGAACTAGATTTATAATCTTTATGCTGATTTTCAAGTGCTGTTTATAGTGCTGTCCATTGATTTCTTTTCTTGTAATGTTTTTAGTAGAGTTATCATTTTAATTACTCATTATAATGGAAGAATGCTTTTTGTCGAAAGTCAACTTGAAGGAGTATGAAGTTACTTCTAGTGATTCTGTTGGAAAAAATTTTAATTAAAAAAGCTTTGAACCTGTGGGACCCATTGAATTTCAAATAAATTTGTCAAACGTAGAATTGGATAGGAATAGATCCATTTCATTACCAATCCACGGAGCTGAGGTGCATTGAGTTGGATGGGGTAAAGATGAAAAATTAAAATCCTATCCCATCCACCCGGGCGCGTTTTTAGATTGCAGGTTAAAGGGGTTAACACAAATAAAATTGTGGAACTCCGTTATCTTACGATTGGTAAATCAAAATGCTCATGGGAACCCGACTCGGGTTTAATTCCAACCCGGAATTTGTGTTAAATTAAACCCATGGGGAGGGTGTGATAAATTGACCACCACAGGATACTTAGCATAATGACAATTTTACCCTTTCACTCCAATATGATGGATCCTTAATACATGCTCCAACATGATCCTTAATTCATGATCAATCATGCTCCAACATGATCGATCCTTAATACATTAAAGAGGATCATTCATAGAACAGAATGATCGATCTTGATAAACATGACGTCTTTTTATGATCGATCCCCATAAACATGATTGATTCTTAATTTATTATGGGTTCATTCATGGTAATTTAGGACCTAACATATTTACCATGGTTGATCCTTAAATTTTCTTAAAACTTTTTAGGATCAACCATGGTTATGATTGATAATAAACAAGACGTTATAAGTACTTTCCTAGAATGACCATTGGTTGTAAGATTAATTTGTAATCTAAATAAAAGGTTGTCTTGGATATGGTTAAGGGTATAATAGTCAAAAAGATATCATATTACATCATCTTTGTTCGGGGGCCTACAAAAGTGCAAAAATGCTTATCAAACATTGATAAGAATAAGATTTACCATATGTCCAAGTCAATTGAATAGTTGGGTGGGTTTAGATTGGACGATAAATAATAATTTTTTAGATATTCAATTTAGTCCAACCTACGATCCAAACATATCCTAAAAAAATTATAAACCACGAAAAAAAATAAAAGGAAAGAAATGACTAATAGGATAAGAGCAAGGGGAATGCCATGTTGTTTTGAAAAAAAATTACAATGAGTTTTACATTTTAGGTAAAACTATGACGTGGCATGTATAATTGTAACAAAATCAACTTGTGGGACTCAGAAGTTGGATTTTTCAAATAAATCTGATAAAATGATAGGTTAAAATGAACAGTAATATTATGCTGATGAAATTTTAGGATGAAATTTAGAGCTTAAATGACAACTTATTGTTTGTTCGTTCTTTCATGCATATGTACGTTGGACAATTGCAGAAATGGAGATCATCATCAGGTGGAAGATGTTACTCCTCCTGTCACCGAAATTCAAAAAAATTATGAGCAAGCACTAGATGATCTTGTGAACGTGAACTCACTATTCACTGCGGCGGTCTTCATAGGATTTTCTTTCAGCACGCCAGGCCAGACGAGTCTTGATGGCCGAGAGAAGTGCAATGCCAGTACTTTCATGCTGAAGGTTCTAGTTCTGTTGGAAGTTGCATCTTTCAGTTTCTTCCTGTATTCCAGCCTAATGGCCAAGGCACTCAAGTTGGAATTCACACTCAAAAAGGCAATTCAAACCAAGGGTTCTACTACTTCTTTGAAGTNAATACATTAAAGAGGATCATTCATAGAACAGAATGATCGATCTTGATAAACATGACGTCTTTTTATGATCGATCCCCATAAACATGATTGATTCTTAATTTATTATGGGTTCATTCATGGTAATTTAGGACCTAACATATTTACCATGGTTGATCCTTAAATTTTCTTAAAACTTTTTAGGATCAACCATGGTTATGATTGATAATAAACAAGACGTTATAAGTACTTTCCTAGAATGACCATTGGTTGTAAGATTAATTTGTAATCTAAACAAAAGGTTGTCTTGGATATGGTTAAGGGTATAATAGTCAAAAAGATATCATATTACATCATCTTTGTTCGGGGGCCTACAAAAGTGCAAAAATGCTTATCAAACATTGATAAGAATAAGATTTACCATATGTCCAAGTCAATTGAATAGTTGGGTGGGTTTAGATTGGACGATAAATAATAATTTTTTAGATATTCAATTTAGTCCAACCTACGATCCAAACATATCCTAAAAAAATTATAAACCACGAAAAAAAATAAAAGGAAAGAAATGACTAATAGGATAAGAGCAAGGGGAATGCCATGTTGTTTTGAAAAAAAATTACAATGAGTTTTACATTTTAGGTAAAACTATGACGTGGCATGTATAATTGTAACAAAATCAACTTGTGGGACTCAGAAGTTGGATTTTTCAAATAAATCTGATAAAATGATAGGTTAAAATGAACAGTAATATTATGCTGATGAAATTTTAGGATGAAATTTAGAGCTTAAATGACAACTTATTGTTTGTTCGTTCTTTCATGCATATGTACGTTGGACAATTGCAGAAATGGAGATCATCATCAGGTGGAAGATGTTACTCCTCCTGTCACCGAAATTCAAAAAAATTATGAGCAAGCACTAGATGATCTTGTGAACGTGAACTCACTATTCACTGCGGCGGTCTTCATAGGATTTTCTTTCAGCACGCCAGGCCAGACGAGTCTTGATGGCCGAGAGAAGTGCAATGCCAGTACTTTCATGCTGAAGGTTCTAGTTCTGTTGGAAGTTGCATCTTTCAGTTTCTTCCTGTATTCCAGCCTAATGGCCAAGGCACTCAAGTTGGAATTCACACTCAAAAAGGCAATTCAAACCAAGGGTTCTACTACTTCTTTGAAGTTATATGCGCGTATGATGTTATTATCCTCTGTTTGGGCATCTTTGTTTGGGTTTTTGTGCTTGACATTGTCGATCATCTTAGCCGTCCAGGTGAAGTTGGGGAAGTTGTCTTGCAAGATTGGATTCACAACCTTTGGGATTTCATTTATGTGTGTGGTTCTCTCTTCTAGAATTGATATTCAGTCCTCATGTGGTACTCGACAAACCGTATCACTAGATCAGTCTGTTGAGAAAGAAAGGGTACAAGTAATGCATTATGGTGTGGGTTGTTTGAATTAGTCACTACTTTTTAATAATTTGTCCAAAAACATTGTCTAAAAGGCAAGAGACAATGTACGTTTATGTTGTTACAACTTATTAATTAACATACAAATTATCTAGTGTCCTTTACTTCTTGTATTACCTTTCCACAATTATTCTTTAAATGCACCTAAAGAAAATTTCGAAACATTTGAAAGAGAATTACAAGGACAAAGAGAGACCATTGTCAATAACCATCCAGATGATTAGGGAATAGAATTTATTTAGCAAGAAAGCAGGAAATATATCATCTTCACCGATAACGAAATAGAAGAAACAAACATCTCTTCCCATAATATCCATAAAGTAATCCAATCAAATCTCATGTTTGACTATCTTTTTTAACTGAGAAGAATTATAACTATTTCTTTCATCCAAAACACAAAATATATATTTCAAAAAACAACTCAATCACAAAATTTAAACAACTTGTTCTCATAATTCACCTGATGTTGATGAAATCTCATGACAAATAGCACCGAAATAACAACCCAAATTATCAATTAGAAATGGTGAAAGTCACCAAGGAAGAAATAATCGACTCGGGTTACTCCAGACATGGTCACAAAAAATTTCTTTATGCCAAGGCTCGTGAAGCTGCTGATAAGAGAGCTCTTGAGATTCGAAGAGGTTTGGGTTCTTCCACTCTTCTCCCATAGAAGAATTTATTATGAACATGCGCCGAAAGTGAAATAGAGTTGGAATTTTTTGAGCATAAAAGAGTGCCTCTAAGGGTGAAACACTTTTCAAAATAGAAGAAGGCACAAAGCTATTTCTCTCCACATAAATTCTTATCTCCTCCGCTTGTTTCACCTCTGCGCGCGTGAGAGTCCCAAGATCTCTCTTTGATTCAAAAGTTAGATAACACCAGTATATATATATACTCAAGTACCTTAAGATATTTAGTATATGTGGGATTGAGTTTTCACATATAAAAAACACCCTTTTAGTTAAAACTAACAATGCACATTTGCATTGCACGTGAAAAAAATTTAGTTCATTAATTTGTTATTAAATTTATTTGAAATACAAAATTGATGAGTAATAAAATTGAATTATTTTTTGTAAAAGTAAGTGAATAATTAAAATACCAAGAAAAAAAGCACTTAATCTTTTAACCTCAAAATTTGATAAATTTTAGTCAATAAATGATAAAAATACTTAAAAATATGGTACATATAAAAATACCTAAAAAATGTTGGATTTAATTTATTTATTATTGGATTGATTGTTGGTCTCAATAAATGTTGAATTTACCATCAATTCAAAAATTAAGAATAATTAGGTCAATATTGTAGGAGATTTGAACAAACTTTCAATATATTAGTTATATGAGCAATGAAAAATTAGATTCACGAGAGGTTGTAATAAAACAAAAAAACAATAACATAGAAAATTTTAGCGTAAACATAGGAATTAATAAACTAAAACATAAGAATTAATAAACTAATCTCAATTATGCCGAATACTTGACTTGCTACACCAATTTAATAAACTAAAATATAAGAATTAATAAACTAACCTCAATTATTATACAAAATACTTGACCTATCATACCAATCTCTTTGAAAGTTGTTTGACATTAAATTAAGAAAAATTAAGTGCCACAAAACATAGGAATTAATAAACTAAAACAGAAAAATTGATATACTAACCTCAATTATGCCAAAAACTCCAACTTCGACTTTATTGAGTTTGTCAAAGAAGAACATGAGGCCATATGGCTTCAAATAAATGACTATGGCAGGCCAGCTGATTAGTACTTAAATTTACATGTTACTATGCCTTTTTAGGACTAATTATACTTTGATAGAGTTTAAGTGATGACATTTCAGGTCCTAAAGTGAACAAAGACTAAAGAATAACAAATATCACACTTGAGTGTAACACCAGTGCATAAGGGAAAAAATTGGAGAAGGATGAAACTTGAGTACCACGTCCGTACGCCAACTCACATTCGAACATCCACTTGATTTGATTGAAGACGAGAGTGATGAGTGCAAAACACCAAGCTATGCATGAAGTGTGGAAACAGGTTTCCATAGAAGACCACATACCACTTGAGTGATATGATCAAACCCCATCTGACGTTCAAACGCCCCTAAAGCAAAGACGGAAGACAAGTTCGAACGTCCATAAAGTCAAAATAGAAACAACGTTCGAACATCATCTACAGACTGCCTGTAGAGTAATTGATTTTCATTTTTACTGGGCGGCATACACTATTCATCCTCTCTTATCTTCCCCACCTCCCCTTCCTTGCCTATAAATACTCCTATTAGGGGAGCTTCAAGGGGCATTCTTCTTCACTTGTAAAGTATTGAGTGAGAGCTTAATTAGTAGGCTTAGACTACACCAAGAACTAGTAAGAAGTTTATATGAAGGTTTAGACTTCTACTCATTTTGATTAATTTTAGATGTATGTTATATTTGCTTGTATCAAGAGAGTTAGTTCATTTATTGGTTAAGGAAGCAACCCTCCATCTTTTGGTTAAGGAAACAACCCTCAACTTGTTGGTTGAGGAAGCAACCCTCCATTTGTTGGTTGAGGAAGTCACCCTCAAGTAGTGACTAGCTTTCTCTACTTTCATTGTTTATGTCTTTCACTTCCATTGCTTGAGTTTCCTTCTTCGTTAGAGGAGTAAAACTGTTCCACTTTTATAGAGTTTTACCAAAGTCGTGAAAGGGAAAATGTGATTCACTTATTCTTTAGTGAAGATCGGCTCTTCGTTTATTGAATTTTACCTTGTAAGTTCTCTATTTGAAGGGATGAGTATCACTCACTTTCTAACTTTACTCAAGCCATGAAGAGTGAGTAGTTCTTTATTCACTTTTTAGTAAGAGATGATAAACATGTATTAATTGTCCGAAAGCTATACTTGTGCATTTCCTTTATGTTTCCTTTATGGTGATGAACATGTATCGATTGTCTAGAAGCTATACTTGTGCATTTTCTTTATACTTTAATGTTTTATATTTCATTTATTGAAGGATTGAATGCATCTAACAAAATTAAGGTACTTTGTTTAACTATGAGTTCTTTCTATGTCGCGGATGACTCTTACGTGGAAAAATCTATTGGTTCAAAGCAAATACCTAGGTTAGATCTTCATGATACATTTCAATCTTCATTATTATTGTGCTTTATCTGAAAAATGAAACATTAATGTCATGATTGGATGCCTTGTAGAAACACTTACTTGTTTGTAGACAGGTTAAATCTCGGCACATGCAATTCTTGTCCACTTCTAGAAAGACATCGGAATCATGTGTTTAATTCTCACAGTCCATCTTTATCTTCTGATTAACTTGTTGTTGACATGGGAGTTAATTGAGTTATAAAACACAAGTATAATAAACTGGATGATTAACTATATGTTATGATCCTCAAGCTAAAGAGTGATTGTTTTATATTTTAATTTATCTTATATTTTGTCTAGAAAACTCTTGAAAAGAATCTTCTATTCTACTCAAGAAATCCCACCACTCCAAACTTTCAAAATTTTCAGTTACTTGGTATCTATTATTGCTTACTTCAAAACACCAATCATAGTTCTCTATGGATTCGACTCCGGATTTAACCGGATTATTACTACAACTTGACCGCCTGCACTTGGGTGTACACATTTCGGATGAAGTCACCAACTTCTAACTCTAACATGAATGAAAGAAAAAACTTGTCTGATAACTTTGCTGGAAAGTTTGATCCCATGTGGTATTAGTATATATATATATATATATATATATGTATTACCTAAAAATTACCAATATGTAGTATTAGAATTCTAATAGAGTTTGTACTATTGAATGGAAAATAAAGAATGTATTGTCATAGAGATAAAATTTATATAGCTAATATTTTGATAAAGTTTATCTAAGTAATATTTTGACAAATTTTATCTATCAAGTCATAGAGATAAAGTTTATCTAACTAATATTTTGAAAGTCAAGTAGGTATGAAAGACAGGAAAATATGTGGGTATAATTAATTTTATAATAATAATTAAGGGTGAAATAGAAAATCAAAAATTTTTCACACGTCTTGCCATTTTAGAAGTAATATAAATATTGAAACAGATTCACTTCCAAACCCAGTCTAAAATAGGATCTATTTGTTCCTTTTACTCACCCTGTAATACAATGGCAAAGTTGGGCTTAAAATGTTTGGTGGATTTCATTTTATTCATGTGATTAGATGGACTTGTACTTCACATTCTCTTCATTAAAAATGGTTACTTAACCTTGTGCCTGTGAATTATGGATACTCCACTAAGATTGAAGTACCCGAATCTAATAATGTTAGATACAAATATGTTTTCATTATGACTGAAAAAATATCAGACACATCTTATTCGTTGCCTAATATCTAGAGGGGGTTTCACCATCTCTTTTCGTTTTGAGTCAATTTGACTACTACTTTTTTCTTTGTGCTATTCTATTCGGAAAGACCATCAAGTGATTTTGCCATATCTTATGCAATCAATTGGATTCTATCACGTCCATTTTTCGATAGTGCATAGGCTCTAGCTTCTTCCTCTAGCCGAGCCACGGTGTATCACCCGGAACCATAATTGTACGAATGTTAGAAGCACGTATAAAAGTGGGAACCCTATGTTGGCTGTTATATGTATAGCGATTGGACCAGGTAAAGCAGATGGAAAGAAAGTCAAGAAGTGCTTCTTTCGATACCTATCTTCTTTTTCTTTCCCCTATGAGACGGAAGTAGAGGTCAGCCAAGCTATGGTGTGAAATACTCATAAAAGAAAAGAAATGTGGGAAGTGAAAGAATGTTGGTTGTTCAAGATTGTAGACTAAGCTACGGGATCGATTTCAAGAAGCACTAAAAATACTGTTGCTTCAAATTTTTTTAGTCCTTAAATATGCGTGAAGTGTGTATATGGTCCTTAATCTTTTAATTGTATATATTTAGTCTTTTAGATTCCGACTTTGTATCAGCATGGTCTAACCCTAAATATTTGTCAAAAAATTATTAATGCTCGGATCATGTGTCATTCATGTGGGACAAAATAGACACAAAATTAAGAATCAAATTATTAACGCATGACTGGAATTGTCATGATTTTTTGACAGACGTTTAGGATTGGATTATGGAGCAATGCTATAAAGATCTTATTTGGGGACCTAATGATGTGACTTCAATGTAACAATTGAATTAGTTGTGAGTTTCAATGTTAAATAGAGCCCACAATCAATCAAATGGTTGTATTGTATTAGATCCCTAGATTAAGCTCCTAAATTTGGTCCAAATAGCATTTTTCTTGGACTACGTAGACACAAATTAAAAACCTTAAAGACTAAATAGACACAATTAGAAGATTAGAGACCAAATACACACTAAACGTATATTTTGGGAACTGAAAGTGTATTTTGCCCATAATATTATAATACAAAAATTTATAATAAAGTTTATAATAAAGCTTTTATAAGTTTTTATTATAAAGTTTATAAATTTATAATAAAGTTCCTTTCATATTTTCCCATGTTTTCGTTTCATCTTCTTTTGCATTTTCATCTGACATTGTTTACCATGAAGAAATTGTTTGTAAGGCTGATAATCGAATGAGTCTGAACAAACTCGAGTTGTTGAGCCCATTTTCTTAAGGAAGGTTAAAAAATTATTCAAATTCAGCTTGTTTTTTAAACAAGTCGAATTTAAGTTGAACCTCGTATATTTACACATAAACAAGTCGAGTCTGTCGAACTCGAGTCGAATCTGTCGAGCTTATTTTTTAAATAAATTTAAAAAATTATTCAAATTTAGAGCTTAAACGAGTCCAAAATAACTCGAATCCGAGCCAAAATCGAATAACTCGGTTCGATTATCAACGTGTGTATGGTGTTCATTGCTCTAACCAGCACTTTTCAACTGTTTCGCCATCTGTCTCCTCATATTCTCCATTTCCTTTCATCGTACTACATCAGGAAAATTTTTAGGAATCTCATTCCCTTTTGGCTATTGTCCACTAACATATCCAGAATATAGAATAAGCATTCATTAGCTGTAAAATATAGAATTAGTACCTTGATTAGACACACGAACAATTTTCATGAGGAAACTAACAACAACAGCAACTTGATCTGGGTCGTAACAGTTCGGCTTAGATGATTGTTTGTGTGTGTGAGTACCTTTATATATACCTCACACATGGCCTAAACTCCTGCATTCAACATTCCTCCCTTTCTCTCTCTCTCCATCTATAGCGCACGCATACATGGCTAACTCGAATAATGAAGAGCTGTACAAAGCTGTAATGTACAAAGAGCACGACCGTGTGCTTAGACACTGCAAAGAAATTCCAGAAGGTCCATTTCGCGTATTGACCATCCATGATGACACGGTCCTTCATATGGCCTTATACTCTTTGCAAGTAAAGTTAGTAACGAGTTTGCTAGATTTGCTCAAAGAATTCCCTCAAGATCAACTCGAACAAAAAATGTTGCTTCAAAATAATACTGGAAATACTATCCTCCATGAGGCAGCAATTTGTGACGAATTTGTCCCAGCCGCGAAAGAAATGTTGCATAAGACACCTGAGCTGTTAATTAAGACTAACAAATTTGCAGACACAGCTCTTTTTCGCGCAGTTCGTTATGGACAAGTTAAGATGTTCCAGTTTCTTGACAAAGAAGTGAATAAAAGTAAATTTATCAGAGCAGCAGATCGCAAGTCTTTTTATCACAGTAAGCGAAGTAATATACTTCATACGGCTATTATCACTGAGCAGTTTGGTAAGTTCATTCCTCTATCTCAATAGTACTGTTGGTTACACTTTTTTATGTTTGTTAATAGAGGGTCAATCTGTACGTAGGTGTTAAATTAGCCTAACTGATTTCTAAAGTCACGGGGGTTTCTATTATTTTATAGATTTCTTATTCGACATTTTCCATAAAATATAAACAGGCATGGCTCTTTTGATCGCAAAAAAGTATCCGCGTTTAGTTAATGAAAGAGACGAAGAAGGGCTGACTGCTCTTCAACATCTTGCGCGGAATCCAGCAGCATTTAACGAAGGTAGTGGATGGCAGAAGCGTTATATCCTGTCCGGTATGATACTTCCCTTTCAATTTTTTTGCACATTGCTTAATTGGAAAGTTTGTTTAGAGTATTGTCTTCTCTGTAATGTATAGTGGTGCTTGAATCTATAGCACAAAAATTCTTCTTTCTTTTTTTCAGGTGTCTCAACTGAAGACAATACCAGTGTAAGGGAAGAAGGTAAAGAGTAGATTGATTAATGCACTTCATATTTTAATTTTGCACTACTATCATCATCATAGTATGAAAAATTTAGAAACTGATTTTCATTTCTTGGAAAGGTGCATCATGGTGTACACTGCCCTGGTGGGAGGAACTTCAAAAAAAGAAACAAAAATATATATCCGCTGTTAAACTTGCTCGATTATTAGCAAAAAGAGAACTACCAAGGAAGTATACTGACCATGAAGAAGAAAAAGATTATGTCCATGAGTTTGGAGAGGAGCCAGACACTCCTTCCTTGAAAAAAGAGGCAAAGGAACCCCCAACACCATTATTTTTGGCCACTAGATACGGCTGTGTGGAGATTGTAAATGAGATACTCGGAATACATCCTGAGGCATTCAAGCATATCGATGATGAAGGCAATACTATTTTACACGTAGCCATCAAGTACCGCCAAATAGAAATATTTGATCTTATTGAGAAAATGGAAGTTCAAATGACATGGCTGGTACGAAGAGGTGGCAAGAATTCAAACTCCATTCTACATGTGGTTGGAGAACCGAGAGAAGGTGCTACACCCGAGGAGGCAATCCAAAGCCCTGCTCTCCAATTGCGAGATGATTTGCTTTTGTTTGAGGTGCAAGCATACATACTCTCTTTCCTAGCACATAAGGAATGCGAGTGTGCCTTTGGTATTGTTTTAGGAGGTATTCTGGTGATATGACATATTGCTAGTGTCTTAAATTGTAGTCTTACCTAGGAGATTCTATTTGAAACACCGAAAGAAAGGGAAAACGAAATCACCAGTGTGCCATTGCAGATGCATCAAGCTTTTGTGATGCTGATAAAAAAGCTTGAAGCACATTGTTTTGCACTAAAATTCGATCAAACAAATGATAGATCGTGTTTAATGTGTTCTTGCAATTCAAATGTTTAACGTTGATGCAATTTTCTGTCAAATGCAGCGCATAAAGGCAATCTGCTCAAAATATTTCTTCAAGCACATCAACTCCAAAGGGCAAACTGCTGAGGACTTATTTGCTGAAACGAATGAAGGACTTCGTCAAAAAGCAGAAGAATGGCTAAAGGAAACAGCTAAAAATTGCACCATTGTTGCTGTGCTCATTGTCACAGTTGCCTTTGCTGCAGCCTACACAGTACCGGGAGGTTCAAACCCGAATAGTGGTGTTCCACTTCTTATCAACCAACCCTTCTTTGTCATATTTACCATTGCTGATGTCCTTTCGCTTACATTCACTCTGACTTCAGTCATTGTATTTCTTTCCATCCTCACATCGCCATTCCGGTTAAGAGACTTCAAGCAATCTCTTCCTCAACAGCTAATACTTGGATTTACACTTCTAATTTTCTCTGTGTCGATGATGATGCTAGCATTCGCGGCAACTATCATCCTTATGATACGAAATAAGGAACAGTGGACAAAAATTGCTTTATACACCGTTGCCTTTCTCCCAGTCACTGTCTTTGCAATCTCATACTTGCCTCTCTATGTATCCCTCATGCCAACAGTCAAATACTCGCTGAAAAGAGTTGGGTTTTTTCTACCCAAGTTTAATTGGGTTCTTATTCGATCTTCGATGGCCAATAAATTCAAGTGCTCTTGGAATTTCCAACGAAAAATTCCCTCCAATTCCACTGAAATTCAAGTCACCAGTCCTTCATGTCCTCCTATATCTCAAACAATCCCTTCTCTGGTTTGAAAAGTTGGCTGAAATTTCATCTTTTCACTCTTTTTATAACACCTTGCTGATTATCTTATCAAGAGTTGTGTTGACTTGAAGGTAAGTTTGGTTTAAAGGATGGAATTGTTGGGATTTCTCACGATTTAAATCCACTAACAAACACACACAATCGAAGAACAAATCAAGAATATAAAGCAATAAGAAACAAGAAAGAACAAGACACAGATTTTACGTGGTTCGGCAATTTGCCTACGTCCACGAAGCTGCAGGGATTTCACTATTGAGAGAGTTGAATACAGAGAGCGGCTGTACATCCACAATTAACCCTAATCACCAAAACAACATGGTTTATATGTCCTACGCACTGGGCTGTATAACGGGCTGATATGAAGGCCTATCGGCCCAAGCCTTCGCTCCATGGACTAAGCATCAGAAAATTTTCCATTAAAAACCACAACATTATTTCGGGTCGGTCATCATCCGGATCACATATACAAACTAGACTCCATAAAAAAAAACCAACAGGAAGTTGGAACAATTACAGGAATATTAGATCGTGTATTGCTAGAGTTTTTGCAAAACAAAGTATTGTGTATTGATTTGAGATGCCAAAACTCTAGGCAATTGAATTTTCTGAGGCAGAACACTACTAGATGGTTGCAGGTTTCTTGATCGATCCAATGGCTATGTAAATTTATATTTTGTCACTTTCAAGTTATCTTGAACTACAAAAGGTCGTACACGACTCGTTATGAATAGTGAATACTATTTGAATTCTATGATCATGATACGACAAGGTATAAGTTGAACAAATTTTGACACACTATCACTTATACATGAAACAAATCCGACACAACACAACCATCGACAGTTTTAGCTATAGCCCTCCATATTAATATCTAAATTTTGTTTTTATCCTATTTATGTAATTTTTTAAAATATTAAATTAACACCCCCCAAAAGTATCAATATATTCACTTTGACCCCTTCAACTTTAGAATTTTTTTGGCTATGTTGATGTCTTATTTGATTAATTGTTAGGGAGAATTACACTCAGACCCCTTGAGGTTTATCACTTAATCACTCAGGTCCCCTGACATTTAAAATATTACACACAGATCCCTTGAAGTTTGTACGTGCATAACACTTAAACCCCTGTTATAAATATATCAGTTAATAAGTTACAATTAGACCAACTTGAAGTTTGTGGATATGTAATACTTATACCTTTTAATTATAAAATATTATATTTAGGCAAAAATATTCTAATCAAATATGAAATATGAAATATTTTAAATTTTACAATCAAAATTTATGTTCTATTGCATCATTTATTGAAATAAAATTTTAATTTTTTCTTAAAAAATTGTAATTAGTACACAATTATATTGTCTATTAGAATTTAATTTAGTAGTTTAAACGACCAAATTAAAATACCAAACTATCCCAACTAAATCTAAAAAATATTATGTACATTACAGTTTGATTCCTTGTTTAATTTTTTAGTTTTGTTCTAATAGACAACATAAATATATACTAACTATGTTTTTTTTTAAAAAAAATAAATTTTTATTTTTAATTTTATTTCAATAAATAACATAATAGAACATGAATTTTGGATGTAAAATTCATGATCTACTATGAATGAATTAGAGTTATTATTTGGTTTTTCAGTTTTATTCCAATAGATAGTATAATTGTATAATAATTATGATTTGTTTAAGAAAAAATTAAATTTTTAATTTTAATTTTATTTCAATAAATGATACAATAGACCATAAATTTTAGTTATAAAATTTAAAATATTTGATATTTGATATTTGATTAGAATATTTTTTATTTAAATATTATATATTCATAAACTTTAAGAGAGTTTAAGTGTAATTTATGAAAAAATATTTTTACAACAGGAGTTTAAGTGTTACATGTGTATAAACCTCAAAGAATTTGTATGTAATATTTCAATGTCAGAGAGTTTGAGTGATTAAATGACAAATCTCAATAAATCTGCTTAATTCTCCGTAATTGTTAATGTCGGCATATTTTGGTGGAGCAATCTATCTCTGAGATGGCAACGGCTCTCAGTCGAATGAGCAAGTAGCCCCAGCCCCTCCCTCTCTCTCTCTGTTTGTCTCTCGACCTCGAGCATATCAGATTTTGAAGCCTTCCCTGAATATTTTTACCCAACCCCAACTGCGATTGAAGCTCTCACGATCTGATTTCGAACAAATCTGATATGAAGCCCTAAATCCCCCATTTTTTTATACCCTAAATCCTTAACTCAGCGATACGTCGAAGCCCAGGCCTACTCACGACCTGTCTCAAATCTCAACTGCGATTGAAGCCCTTCGTGAAGCTGTCAATGAAGTTGTCAGGGTCTGCGATTGAAGAAAATGAACTCAAAACTAAGCTTCTGGTGATTGGGGAGGAAAGAGCAAGGATTAGGCAAGAAAAAGAAGCCCTCTTCGTGTTTAAAGCATGCCCAATATAAGTTAAGTCTTTTTTCATGTGAATGAAATGCCTTTGGCCTTTACTTTCCAAAACCTTTGTAGTTCTTCTCTTCTGTTAATAGGCCATCTTTATAAAGCCTTTGTCTCTTGTAAATACATTACCGATAATTCGTGTCTAAAGGGCCGACGTTATTCAAACAAGATTTAACATTGATCATGAACACGAAAAAATTAAGTGTGGACACACACTAAGTTAGAAGCCGAAACTGCATCCGTAAAATACCCGCATTTTACATACATGCTCAAAATTTAACTTCATAAAATTTACAAATTTTATGCTATTAAAAGAAATGTCAATGCCCGAAAATACTATGTTTTGCTAAATAAAAAATCGTCAATAATTAATGAAAACCATTTTTCTTTGTTCCTTCAAAAACTTTGGACAAAATTTTCCTTAAAAACAGAACTCCAAGAAAAGGCTAATTACACAATTCACCCTCTATAAAATATCAATCATACAAATAAAATGTGAACCCCACGTGCCATTCATTAAGTTTAATTATATCAATCCAATAAATTTGTCTTTGATATTATAAATTAAGACCCACAAATCAATATGTGCTGCTTATACAAAAAAGGACCAAGTAAGATGGTTGAGGTTAAAAAATATACATGTTCTTTTTGTGCATCTAAAGCAATTGAAAATTATTCTTGCGTACATGAATAATTAACCACAACAACTGCACCATATGAATATTTGAAAAAATGATATACCAAACATCAAATTGTGTGACACAACCACTTTCTCAAAAATTTATAAACAATCCATAAAATTTTTTAATCCCAAACAACTTTCATCATACAACAAAACGACATAAACTATTTCTAAATTAATGTCTACTCCAATAAATCAACAAAACTCACATTACAATTACATAGAAATTATCACCAATGAGAATGTTTTTCCTCTCCACAATCTCTATAATAATTTTTGACAACCCTGAATCTGCGCAACATTAACCGAATTAGTAATTCACTTAATGTTAATTGTTCCCAAAATAAAGTGTCAATCCCAAATCTTAAAATGCTTGAAGGAGTTGAAATTCTTGAATTTTCATACAAATTAATTCGGGGAAATCAATCAGTGGATATAAATTTCAATTTTGGAAAATTTTAATGGGGAAAATGCATACCAAACACAATTACATCAAGTACTAACTAAATGAAATATTAAATTTATGCACAATTACTTCAAG